CCAAAATCAATCCCTCCAAAATCGGAAGGAAAGTGGATAGAAAGTTAATTATTTGTGTTAAGATGTATCTTATTTGTCTATATATCTTATGTATACATTAATTTCATATAAAAATATAATGGTAAAATATGTATATATATTTTAAAAATAAAAATTAAAAAATTTAGATTAAAAAAAATATTTTTTTCATCTTAACTAAGGATGAAAATTTTAAACTCAACACAATGACACGACTCAAACTCGATACGAAAATAAACAGATCAATTCGTAATTCAACACGACACAGTTAGTTAAATGAGTTAAGTTAGGTTTGACTAATATTCGACACAAACTCGTAATAACGTAACACAAATTTGATATGACACGACTCGATTGGATTGTCACCTCTAATCTTAGCCAGCATAAAAAATTTTTAAAAAAATAGTTATTTTATTTTTCAACCATCCAATCAAACATAAAAGAAGGAAAGTGTATCCTTCCTATTTTTCATCCTTAAAGAATAAAAAATGTATTATTTTTATTTTTCATCCTTCTTATTTTTTGTCCACTCTATCAAACGGAGGATAAGACTATAAATGGATAACGAAAAGACGTACGCTTTAAAGAGTCAACTTTTTTTTTTTTTTGCGCACCAAACTTGTGACAAAGTTGAAGAAGTGGTTGCATCCGTGGGAAGTCTTTTTGGGTCGTTCTCCAAACAGGGCATGAGTCAGTGGGCATATTTTAAGCAATTCATAAAAGTTAAAATTATAGTTAGCCTCTAAACTTTGCACATGCTTTCAATTAAACCCATAATTTTCATTTTATCTCAATTTAGTCCCCCAACTAATTAAAAGATTGAGGGCTTATTTAAAACTATATAAAAAATTCAAGGATCAAGTTTATTTTTCACCTTTATTTGTTGTATAGATTACCCTTACTTACCCAGTCACATGAGATACAGTGAAGACACATGCGCATTACTCTGTTAGGATTTTTGATGGAATTAAATAGAAGGATTGGATTAGAATTTTTAGATAGTTGTAGGGATTAATTGAAACAAAACAAAGATTAAGTGCTTAATTGAAATTGAATGGAAAGCTTGGGGGCTAAATATGATTTTTATCATTCAAAAGTTAGAAAAAGATCGAATATTGAAAACTTTGCAAAGAAGAGATAAGGTGCTTTTTGGTAAGTGGGTATGGGGGGTTGGGTAAGATGGGTTTGGGAAAATACTCTAATAGACCTGAAACCCTTGTTTGGATGGCTTTTTCAAGTCATGCACAGCAGTCTCAGCCCCCTAATTGGCTCGGCACCTTAAATCCTTTAATGTGAGTTTCATCAAACCCATATGGGGTGAGTTTCGGTCGAGCCATACTTGAATTAGTGAGACAAATATCATTTGTATCCTTGAGTTAAACAAAAATAAGTATAGATTGTATTAACCAATAGGCAATAGAATCATTTATAGGACAAATATATTATAATAATAGTGATATATCCGTGGGTCTTATATATGTATGTGTTACATACAAAACATAAGTATGAACTGAATTCAACATTAAATTTCATCTTTGAAATGAGGGGTTTGAAAAAATCAATCCAAACAAGCCATAAAAGTATCGTACTGCAATCACAAGATCCCAAAAAAATTAACAAACCCAAGTCCAAGCACCACTTCCAAAGAAGTCTTAATCCTTTGAAAAGTGGACAAGAGTTTAGCGATTAACCTGAAATTCTTAATCTTTAGTTATTGTGACTACATCATGATTTGGGTAACGTATGCAGACATGATCTTGTGATTACTTGAAAAAAAAAATAAAGAAAGAAGATAAAAAGCATCATGGAATGGTGGGAAAGATTAGTGTGTCCAAGCTTTAGTGTTAAAGCAAACCAATAACAGGAAACCCAACACTCTTTTAAAGTGTTTAAACCGTGAGAACTTCACTAGTTTGGTTGAGCTGTGGGTCGTGTGGCAGTGTGCTTTCTACATAATCTTCCATAGTGTACCCTGAAGACAACTAAGATAGGACCCTATAAAAGTAGATTGGTTAATTTAGTCTATTGGCAACTTTATATTAGAGTGTCTTAGCAATGTTCTACAAATCATCGTGCACTCGAAAAGAATGGACAAGGATCCTCTGCAGTACTTGTTTTTTATACAAAACAATGTCATTTAAAGAAACAATGAAAGCTAAAGCCCATGAAGAAGTACCACTCTTTCCATTTTTTTGCTCTTTTACCAAATAGTGTTGTGCAAATGCCAAGGATGTGTTTCAAACAAATGATGCCAAAACAATTCAAATGGATGTTATTATTGATCAAAAGATTGATCCGGCTCCACTATATAACCCATCATGCAAAAGGTTATGTAAAAGTATAGGGAAAAAAAAAATCCAAAAGGCTAATATTCTTTGTCCATTGTCTAGATTTAAATGCAAAAAGTTATGACAAAGTATATAGAAGACAAAAAATACTATGAATTTCAAATTTTGAAATCCCAAATTGCATTCCAAATGAACAGTGAGTATTTTTTTTTTGAAACTTTTACAAGTGAGGTGATGGTGAAATTCGAACCCATGACCTACCAATTCAATGGCGAGTTGTGGTGGCCATTAGGCCTACAGCTGATCCACACAAGGACTATTGGATGAGTTGATTCAGTCAATTTTTTTAATAGAACTTATTGATCCAATGATGCTTATTAATTTGAGACATCATTTGGGATCTCTAGCATTGCTCAATGCTCATAGGAGACAAGTATGACACAATTGAAAAGTAAGATTCCTTTAACAAGACTTTTTTGTTGATATTCCATATCTATGGGGGGAAATGACGTCAAAGTTGAGGGAATGTGATAAAGGATAGCTTCCATTTGAGATTTATCTTCGATTCTTTTTTTTTTTCCCTACAAAGTGTTCAAGTTTGTGTCGATTATTCTCTTGAGTTCAATAGTTGATCACCGTGACTTGAGTTATGTTAGAACATATTCTTTTTGGGACAATTCTTAGGAGTTATGAGAATGAATTGAACTTGAAACTTCGATTACGAAAGATCAAACTCAACTAGTGAATCACCCATAAGAAGTTCCTTTTACTCTAATCGAATACAAACTAATATAGTAAAAAAGTCTTTACTTTTTTTTATACACATCGATAGATGACTATTACGATAAACAGTTGCCATAACCACTTTGAAAATTTCATCTGCAGAGTGAAGAAGACACTCACAAGTAGGTGAAGATGATTGTTACTGAGAAAAAAACCAAAGAAAGAACCTCTAACGAAGGGGACATACAAAATAAAGTATTGCCTTTGGCAATATCTGACCACTTTACCTCCTTATTAGACCCAATTGATTATGAAAGTCTTTGACTTTAAGGCACTATTTTTATCACAAATCTTGGAAACATTGTTTCCCCTGTGCTTCCTCAAAAGTTCAATAAATTTTATCTTTCCTGATGATGAAATCGTGGTCAAACCCCAGGCTGGATATAATAATGTAAAGAGTGGCAATTTTTGATTCCATATGTTTTTTTTTTTTTTCAGTAAGTAAGATTCCATATGATAATGTGATATGAATCTGACATAAAATTAGTGGGTCAAGGTTGACTAATTCATGATGTCCGAAAGTAACATGATTTGATAACACAAATAATAAACAGGATCAGGTTAATGTTAAATATAAATAATTTAAATTTGACAAGATATAACGTTTTACTAAGACAACATAAATAAAAAGTCTGATTTTTACCGTATGTATCTTGTGTTGACATGAATCATTATAATATAAGAGAATTTTCTTTTTCGTTTTTTATTTTTTTGCTATTACATTGACTTGATGAATATTTAGTTTATGAAAAAGCTTTAAATGGTGGGTTTGGTTAGAATTAGCGAGGTCTTAGTTTTATGCATGAGTTATACAGGTCAACTTAGACATGACATTATAATCAGCAGATCAGCAGATTACTATCAAGACATTTTGATATAATAAATTAAATTGGTTGAATTAAGATTGATTAATATTTAATGTAAAAAAAATAATATAATACAAAACGACTCAAATTGAACAAATTTAAAAAACTTTGAAGGACTAAATTGAGATAAAATATAGATTGAAGGGTTCATATACATTAAATGCAAACATCAGGGGCTGATTAATAATTATGCTTTTCACTTTGCCGACAAATTTGTCAATAAAGCCGTAAGCATCACATCCTTCGCGCTCGACTTTTTAGCAGATTCAAAATTGAAGTAAAAGAAAACAGCGTTGACTCGAAGCCAAGCCGAGCCGAGCCGAGCCGAACCAACAAAAGCTGACAGTACAACCGCCCTGTCAGTGTCACTAACAGCTATACGTCGCTTTCACTTGCCATCCTTCAGGCCTTCACAGTTCTTCAGTACTTCAGACCACCATGACCAAACCAATCTTCTCTCTCTAAAGCCTCGCTTTCTCTCTCTACAAGTACACCTCATATACGTATCTATTCTAGGTTCATTCGATCGATTGCATCAAGGCCCACGTTTTTTTCAATACAACCACCTAAGCGGCTCATTCACGCAAGTCAATTCAAGTCGGAGTTCGACTTTAAATTCATCGCCTGCACGATGACATCATTGAATTCCTAATACTAAAACAAACCCTTGGATTTGTCGCCATTTGAGTAAGTATTTTTGCTTTCTCTTTGATGATTCCACAAGCTTTCGTTTCGTTGACCTTGGTTTCAACTATTGCTTTGTGTTCTTGAGTCGATAGTAAGTGCTGTTCTGGATAATTATGGATGAAAATGATTCTGTAATGCTTTTGATTGGGGGAGACTGTTTGCTCAAATTGTTTTGCCTTTTTAGTCGAACTTGGTCAAACTACTTTGAGTGTCTGTAGATTTTGTAATGGTAAGAAAGCTATTGTTAGACTTTGGCGTTTGGGTTTATAGAATTTTTTTTTTTTTGAATTTACAGGTTACTGTGGAGTTCTGGATGCTGATAGGAGTTGTTTTTGGGATTTTCTGAGGAAGAAGAAGAATGAATGCAAAACTTTTGGAAATTGAACCCCTGGAACTCAAATTCACTTGTGAGTTAATTCATTTTTTTCATTGGGCATTTTTTCATAGAGCATGTTGGTGCCAGTTTACCTTTGTCTATTTATCTCTGTGTGTGTGTGTGTGAATTCATTTTTTTCATAGGGCATGTTGGTGCCAGTTTACCTTTGTCTATTTATCTCTCTGTGTGTGTGTGTGTGTGTCAATTAAATGAAAGCCAATTAGATGAGTGCTGTGTTTGGCGTACTGGGGTTCAGAGTTAGGAAAAAGTTTGTTTGAAATTTGTCCCAATCCCCCCTCCCCGAAACCCAGTTTTTAGACTGCCATTCCCCAACAGCATAAAGCTTTTCTTCTTGATTTTTTTTAGAAATCTGAATTGCATAGCCTTGGATATTAGAAATCACAAACAATTGCATTTGTATCTGATCACATTTTATTGACTTGCTTGTATTTTGTCTCTATTTTACGAGGGCATGTATCATTTTGTCGCACCCTGGCTAGGGTTGTAGAAGTTGTTGCTTTACACCTGTGTATCAACGAATGAATTAATTTAGCTTTTTCATTAATGACAAATGGGATTTATCTTGATTTGTTATTCGTGTTTTCTAACTTATTTGTGTTGTGCATTATTGAAAGGAATGGACTAATATGCGTCAATACCTTATCTTTTGTACTTTGTAGTTGAATTGAAGAAGCAAAGCTCATGCCCTGTTCGATTAGTCAATAAGACCAACAATTATGTGGCTTTCAAGGTACTGGAAAATTAATATTTCCTTGTAGAATTGTTATGCTACAAGTGAGAATTTTTTTTACTGATTGGAATGCTCAGTAGCAGCATAATCGTGGTAATGTTTTGCCAGGTTAAAACTACAAATCCAAAGAAATATTGTGTGCGGCCAAATGTAGGCATTATTAAGCCAAAATCAACATGTGATTTTGTAGGTATGTCTTTTTTCTGTTTGAAAGCTGCATTGTATCTGTGCTGGTTAAAGAGACTTGGGAAACGACCAGAATAGGCTCAATATCTCATTTTCTTTTATTTTTCTTTCTCCAAGTAACTATTGTCGGAGAATTTATATTTATAGCATTTAAGGTTTTGTTCCTATAAATGGAATCTTTAATTTAGGCTGAAGGTATATGCATGGAACTATTTTAATAACTCTCTCTAGTCTCTGAAGATTGGTAAGTGTTCATATGACTAGTGATTGGAATTGGAAACAATTATTTTTAGATGACATTGGTATTAGATAGGTTGCAGTGGCATGTCAAGGATAAGTCACAGAAGATGATGATTTGCGGGTCGTAAGAAATGATAATATACACTTAGATTGCTGTTAGCGACTTAGCTTGGAGAAACCTTATAATATTAGTTGTGGACTTGTGCAAAAAAATTTTCTGTTTGAGAATGATTTGAACATTATTTTTTCACACCGACGGGAATATTTTGGGTAATGGCAATAATTATTTGTTGTCATTTTAGGAAGTATCAGCTGCCATGCTAAGGGGATGGTTATTTGTGTGAGAACTAGAAACAAAGATAGAGCTATGATAAACTATTACTTCACTTACTCATTGAACGTGATTCTTTGGCCATGTTCTCTTGGAGGAATGAAATTACTTATGATCTTCAAACGGCTTTGGGCTGCCAACTTCTACAAATTGATGTTGGGGGGTCATTTTGGGGAGATTTTTGCATGTGTGCATGGCGAGGCTGCACCGTGCACCAGTTATTTAGCATAGGCAGATGTAACCATCAAGTTGGAATGATTATGTTTATGGATGACATTCATTTGTCTTTAGTTTAAGGGATTTGCAGGGAATTAGTTTTGTTGTGTGATTGTACTTTGCTTATTCAGGGATTTAGTGTAAGCAGATGTTTCTCATGTTTCTTTTCCAGATTTATATAACCAAGGATTGATCGAGATGTGGAGCCTGTTTCATTCCTAGTTTAAGCTTTTTTCTTCCTTATCCCTGGCCACGAAAATGATGATAGTTTTTTATGGTTTTTGTTTACTTGGGTGTAGGTTTGGTGAGAATAGCATTAACCTGTCCACATAATCTGTCTTGTTAATAATGAAGAGCAAAATCCAAGTTTATGTATAGGATTTGTGGGATCTTGAAGCCCCTCCCCTGTGGAAGCTGCACAGTTTTGTTAACAATTTCAGATGATAGTTGCTAATATTCATTTGGAGGTTCATAGGGGCCTTAATGGTGTTTATGAAGGATTTATGTTTTGCTTGAAGTGATGACATATATTAGGAACAATTGGGCAGTGAATGAGTGGGGGCTAAAAATTACTCCAGGCCACCTTTACCCATTTCTAAGCGGATATGGGTACATGGACTTAGATGATGTTTTGGCTGGCAGCATGAGGCATTCAAATCTTGCTGTTGATATACTACAGTATGGAATTGAAAGTTGCCACTGTGATACCCTGTTGATTCATACTAGAATTGGTGATTTTAGATCAAACAGTTATGCAGCTGGTAATATTGATTGGTCACATTTCGGCTTGATCATTTATCTGAAATTGTTTTTAGTTTGAATAGTGTCAATCTTGTGTAACTACTTGGTGTACGGATAAATATCAACTAGGTGGGACGCAATAATGAAAGTCCTTGATTTGAAATGGTGGAGAAGTACCACAATTGATCATATGCCTATCTATCACCTGTAGTAAATGTTGGAAAATTAGTCTATAAAATCTTAGACGACAGGGAGATTGAGAATTTGCAGTAAGAGATGGAGGTTCAGTGAGCAGTGCATCAGTACCCGTCTCTGCCTCCTATTTTCCTTTGATTGCTTGAAGCCGAGCATCTTGCTGGTCTATTTTGCCTACCGTAGTCGGGTGTTCTACTTGCTCGAATGCTTGAGGATTCTACCGAGCTACTGATCCAGTGTAGTTTAATTATTTTCATCGTTTGAGTAATCTGTATAGAGGTGATGTTCTGATTGATTATGCGCATTCCCTCAATTCTGGTAGTTTTATTGAGATATGCGAGGTTGCTGATTTGCTAGTGGAGGAACTGGCTTTGTTGCTGCCCTTGATTCAACATCTCAACAATTTTTGTGCATCGGTCAACTCGGCGGTGAGTTTTGCACCTGAAAGATTGAAGGGTCAATTACTTAATCTATGACATGATGGTTTTGTGATTGTTGGTCGTTCATCATGTGCATGGTTCAAAGTTGTGAAGCACCGACACGTTTGGGATACGGACACGTCTCAGACACATGTCATATACGCAAAAATCAGTGTCTGATTTTTTTTTTTTTTTTTGATAACCAGACACATCCCGGACACGTTTTCTCCAACTTACCAATTTTCAGTTGTTTATAGCAGTTGGGGTCGATGAAGACAGATGACAATGACAATGACAATGAAGAAGCTGATGAGAAAGGCAAAACTCGAGCCATAGAACACCAAAGGTGTCCATCGATCAACAACCATCTCTAGCGATCAACGTCCATCTTTATAGAGAAAAGCGAGGGAGATTACCGAGAAGAGAGAGATGTTATAGATGTTTTATTGAGAAAGAGGTGTGTTGGTGTGTGTTTGAGAGAGAGAGAGAAAGAGGAGGTGGGGGGACTTACAACAGATTTATTTTTTCTTTTTTTGGGAAGGTGGCAGATATGTTTTTTTTTCCTTGTGTTGTTTAAATCAAGTCATTGCCATGTGCCATGTCATTATTGGTTTTCTCAGATTTTTGTCTTACCTCCTTATCAACTTGAAAAGATCAAATGTGGCCCAGATTAAATGAGAATTTAAAACTTGTACATATATTTATTCAACGTGTCCCTCCTCCTTTTTTGAGAAACCGTGTGTTCGTATCGTGTTGTACCCGTGTCCGTGTTTCTTAGGTTCAAAGGATCGGTCGACACCACCTAGTTACATCCGACTCGAAGCTTTCCAATCCGATATCTATGTTCTATGTAAACCACGATTCTCAAGTGATTCGGCTGAGTTATTTGACATAATCAGAGTCAACTCCGAGTCATTTGAACCATTGTCATCAAATCAATAGGCCTCATTTTGTGATGTAGCGATATGACATGAATCTCTTGTTATGTGTAGCTTGTTTCTATGTAAGCATTATGTTTGTATTGTTCGATATCTGCGACATTGTGACTAATGCGTGTCAATGCCATCTAATTTGATAAGCATTTGAGCTTCCTGATAAGTTTTGGGTTTGTGCATAGGTCCTGGATCAAACTGTGGGAGCTATTCCTTTCTTTGTATTTTTTTAACCAAAACACAAGATATGTCAGTTTCTATAGATTTTGCCAAATTGTACAGGGTGAAATCTATAATAGGGAAGATGTCGAGTCCTCCCTTGGCTCTCTTAGGTCTACAGAGAGTGACTAGGTTGGTCACAATGGATAACAGGTTGGTCACAATGGATAACAGGTTGGTCATACAAAACAACTATTTGTCGACCACTTGAATTTTTTAGTAGGACGTAGGATCAAATTTTCAATTCCCTGAATAGTTTTCATTAGCTTGTAAATGAATTTTTTTTGGAAATGTTTCAGAAATATTTAGGAAACAAAAAAAATTTTGAAAATTTGATTTTGAAACATTCCGAAATATGGGTATTTCGTTTTTTCATGCCATGTTTCGGTCATTTCTGTGGAAAGAAAACACAGTTTTGATCCTTGAGTCAGTTGGAACAACTGTTGGTCTATCAAAGGGTGAGAGGGTCACCAAAGGTTATCCTGTATATGTCCTCCAGTCCTTACGTTCGAATGGGTTTAGAGAAGAAAACCATTAAGTAATTAGAGAGTGTCTAGGCATACCTCCTAATGATTGACTTGTGAAGAGTTGAAAACTTTATATACAGGTTGTGACCCAGTTGACAATCACAGTATTCATGAACAAGCTACTTCTTGATTAGTCGGAAGGTCAGTTGCAGAGCCGCAATATATTGAGGCTTTTAGATAAAGGCCCAATGCAGAGGAAGACATCCTTGTAATTGGTGGAACACTAAGGCTGCTGGTAGGTGCATTTCAGATAAGGCCGCATTCTGCTTAGTTGGTGTTGATGCATTGACAGAGGTCGGTCATAACTGATGCTAAGCACCAAGATGATTAAGGCTCAGCCCTATTGCTCAGTCCTATACTTGGGGCACTATGGGTTGTTGCCAAGCACCAGCTTAGCAGCAATGCTCTGCTACTCAGCATTATGACCTAGCAGCCCTGCTGGTAGAGGAATTCCGTAGTAGGCTATATTTTTGTTTGTTCTGTCTACATGTGTCAATTCCTTGTGTCAATCCATCACTGCTTCTGCATTTTTGATGTTCCCTCCAACTGTGATAAGCGCCCAGTGGTTCAAGGTATCTCAACACTAGGTATTTAAGAAACAATTAGTTTGTCCCTTTTCTGCAATGGTTGCTGGTTTTATATTTTCCTTTAGCTGGTTTGTTTGTATTGTAACCTCCAAATCTACTGTAGTCAGCCTCACGTGATGGTGTGCCTAACTGGCAAGTCTACCATTTACAAGACTTTCGTTTTTCGAGATGCTCCAGAAGCCTTCAAGTATTGGTCTTTAGTTGGGCTGGCTCCAAGGCTATACTTGCTTTTCATTAATTTCTCCGAGGGCCATTCCATTTTATACTTGATATCAATTTCCTTGAAGAAATTTAATCTTGGTAGAAAGACAGCAATAAAATGTGAGACAGATGGTGGAAACATAGTTTGCTCTTTCTGTTGAAATTTTGATAACTGATGGAAAAATGGTCGTCAAGTAATTTTTGGTTTTGTAAAATTGGTCTAGATTATCAACAAAGAAGTTTATCACGATAATTAATGAAGATTAGATCCTGACTGGATAATGTGCATTTATTTTGGTTTCACTGGTGTACTAGATATTGTAGTTATGCATGATTTCATTCGTTTGGATTGATGTACTCAGTTCACTAGACACCTGAATGGAGAAATAGTAGCACACCCAAACATTGTTTGAAGTTCTACCTTTTGTTTTGGTGCTGCATCATTTTGCGACTCCATGTTGTTTCTTTGTTTTATTGTTGCTCCTCCTGATGTTGGCAAGTTTTTCATTTCCTTCTCATTTGGTGCTTATTATATAGTTGCAATGCAAGCACCGAAGTCAGTTCCACCTGATGTGTTATGCAAAGACAAGTTCTTGGTTCAGAGTACAGTTGTCCCTGTGGGGACCGCTGACGAGGATATTACATCAAGCACAGTAAGTGTTCTGAAGTTGTAAAGAAAAAAAAGTTATTTTTGATTTTTGATTCTGGTTTCCCATTGTTTTGTTTCGCAGTTTGATAAAGCTACTGACAAATATGTTCAAGAGAACAAGCTGAGGGTGATCCTTGTCAGCCCTCCTCATTCCCCGGTACTATCACCAATGAATGGAACATTAAAGCAGGAGCCAGCTAATGAAGCTTCAGTACTGTCAGATCAAGTTTGTAGTACAGTAGAAAACCTCAGCCCATGTCACACAGTAAGACCCTTTTTACCATGAAGTGTTGACAATGTGGGATTTTGTGTATGTCATGGCTCTTCTATTTTTGAATATGTCTAATCTGTTTACATACATGACTTTATTATTTGTTAGGACACACTTCTCCAAACTCAGAGGATATTATTGGGAAGCGAGCATATGAATCCAATGGTATATTGGAGCGTCACTGATAATCTGTTTCATTTTTGATTGTTTAAATTGATCATTTGGGAGTTCAGTTAGGCTTTTGGGGTGTATCTCTTATGATATGCCATTTTATTATTTTTGGAATCCTTTGATGTTAAATATGGTAGATGCGCATTTGAGAATGTTTTCATCTATCTGTGTCTCCGTCTAAGGGTGCGGAGGAGTCCGAAGATGAAAGTGGTGAGGAGGTAAAGCCAGCAACAGATGTAGAACTCAAAGCAATGAAGGATGCGGGGGAGCTGAAGTTGGTTAAAGATGTTGAGGAGATTAAGTCAAACCTAAATACACTCGAGATAAAGCTAACCAAGGTCAGTTTTTCTCAATGGTGTCTGGATTCCCATTTAATAATATCGTTGTACAGGTTCTCTTATTTGTTGGTCTGTCAGGTTTGTTATAAAGGGGAACTGGGTTCTTTTAGACGTCATTAAATTCACATCTAATTTTATCCCAATGCATGCTCAAAATTGAAAACACAAACTTTGGGAACGAAATGGATGATTAATGTATCACAAGTCGGAAGGGCTATTTTCGAGCTAGGGACTCTATTTGTACGCATGCATAGGATTTAAGTGTAGTGTTGAAATCTTAACAACCGTGTTAGAACATGCAACCCAAAACTAATTGGCAATGGGTGGAGGAGCGCCTTAAGTATGTAAACCAACCTTGGGTGTACTTAAATTTCTGACGTGGGTCAGCTCGCTTCACAAGCCACTTACTGTTTTCACGCCAAGTGTAGACATAATTATGGATAGATACTGGAATAAATGGAAAAGAAACTAAAATTTAAAAATTAATGGGCATTGTTTAAACAATCAATTAATCATTCTATAAAAAGATGTACCTTACATAGATTAATGTGTTTAACGAGTTCCCTGAAAAGCATAACGCTTGCGTCACACCTAACTGATATTTCAATCCTATTTTGGGTTTTATCATGCTTCAATTATTTTCAATCTACATAACTTTACCACTTATGCATTTTGATAGCTAATTTTGGTTCTTCATGAAATTAATTTGCTTTTGCTTCTAAAATCATTGTGGAAACTGCTTCTCATCCTGCTATTTTTCCTTTCTGTGGGATGGATGTTGTCTTAAGTGTTGTGGACTTTGGTGGACCAGGTTAATTTCGTTGGAACATCCCAATATGTTAATGAGTTTCCTGGAAGTGATGGTTTTATGAATGATTTGAATAATGGTTTATGGTTGGGTTTCTGGTGCTAGAAGTCAAAGCACTGTAATAACCTATTTTTCTGGACTTTTTCACAGGCTGAAGCAACCATTTTGAAGCTAACTGAAGAGAGAAGATCGACTGCTCAAGAGGGAGAAATTTTACGGCAAGAATTGGTGATGCTATTAATTTTATCTGCTGCTTCTTTTTTAATATTTCTTGTCTGAGGCCAAAATGATTCGACTGATAAATGCTGCAACTCCATTATGGTCACTTCAACTCATGAGAACTGATGATAGAATGAGCTGGGTTTTGAATTTGTTTCCATGCACCATGCAATTAATCACACATTCTCTCTTACTGCCCTTGTATCAGCCGAGTCAAGTGTCTATGATAAGTTGAGTGGTTAAGATGGTGTGTACCTTGCTCTTGGGAACATTTTAATGTTGAAATAAATTCATTGGTCCACCAAAATGAGTTCTGAAGCCTACTTGAATTGCTAATTATATTTGCCTTTACTCCAAGATACAAAGTCTTGATTTATAGCTACAGGAGTTGCGTAACGTGTACAGATGGAGGTCCGCTTTTTGGGATACACTATTCTAGGCGGAATCCATTTAGGATTTTCTTACTCTACTTTACTTTCAAATTCTATGATAGACAAATGATAACACACAAGGGTGGTATCTACTTGAGGAGTTTTTTTTTTTTTTTTTTCAAAAAAAGGAGGGGAAGTGTGGGGAGAAATGACAAGATATTGGAACATCGATTTGGAAGAGATAATGGAGGCAGGAGTTCATTTTGGCCATGGTACTAGGAAATGAAATCCTAAAATAGCACCTTATATCTCTGCAAAGTGTAAAAGTATTCATATTACAAATTTTACTAAAACTGCTCATTTTTTATCGGAAGCTTGTGATTTGGTTTTTGATGCAGCAAGTATGGGACAAAACTTCTTAATTGTTGGCACTGGCCTTTAGGGTCACGATAGGTCTCTTCAAATGGAAATGGCTAGGCCGTTTGTTGAAACTAGAATTCTATAAGGGTAGTAAGCAAGGAAGGACCAATCTGAAAGGAAGGTAAAGGCTGGCACATAGGGGCATCGGTTTAAGCTCCCTTAATGGGTAGCTCAGGCTGGCTAGCTCATATGGAATAGGTCTCTGGCTTGCTCTGTCCACTCTTTGGATCTCCAAATTTTAGGTGTTCTGTTTCTATGTTGCTCAACGAATGACATTCTGAATTCTTGCCTTTAAAGACACATCCTCATTGGATATAATCGATCTATTGCTTTATGTTTGATGACATTTGCTTTTTTCACTTTGCAGGCACTGCTGAGAAGTAAGCGGATTGTTAGAACAGTTCAGAAGGGATTCCCTTTCCTCTTTGTTTGTATGGTGGCACTCATCAGTCTCATGCTTGGACACATGTTGCACCCATAATTTGGAGTAGTTAGTATTCACTATGCTGTAGATAGAAAATCCATAAGCCCTTGCTGTAAGCATGTGGTAGGAACCTGATATTATATATGTATGGCTATATGCAATCTTCTTAATAAATGTTGCATGTAAAAGAACAGCTTTCTGGTTAATAGGCAAGATGCCAGCCTTTTGGTTGAGAAGAATTACCCATTGATTGCTTTCTTATTTAATATTTTTTGTACGGACGTAATATACTGTGCATCTTTGAATCATGGTCCTGATTTCACTTTACTCCGTGCCATATCATATTTTAGATAGAGAAAATAACCACGCGTCATTAAATTTTGGGGCAAAGTAAACCAACATTACAAAGTTTGAGAGGTAAAGTGGTCTTTATAACTTTCGGTGTAGTTTGGAATGGATGTATGTACTTGTGTCAATGTCAAACTAATAGCCATTATTGTAAGTTAATTGTAGGAAATGTGATCATTGAGAGAATAATGTGAGATATTTTTTTAGTTGAGGGGTCAAAATATAATTTGCACAAATTCTAAACTGAGCTTCATTTGGAGTTGTGTAAATCTTTTGGTATTATACCTAAGCAAAGAGTTGTGAGATTTTGTAACTTACAAGTCTCAACTTCAATCATTTTTTGTCATTTTAGGACTAATCACCTTTGTCTTTTTAAGGATATGTTTTAATTCAACTCAAGTCACGGTGGTCAGCTATTAAATTTAAGGGAGTAGTAAGTATAAGTTTGGACATCTTGTATCAAAAACAAAAAAGGGTTAATTGTATTAAAAGTTTTCAAAGTATGAAGTTTGTCTTATTTTGGTCCTAATATTTCAATTGTATCATTTTGGTCTCTGAATTATTGAATATATTTTTATATGGTCTTTTAAATATACAACGTTCATATTGCTAACAATTTTTTATCATAAACTTGTCATGTAATAGTTAAATATGGACAAAAAATAATTTTGATAGTTCTTAAACAAAATTTGGGTAACTCTTGACAAAAATTTGTGTAATATGGGTAGCTTTTGACCAAAATTTAGATAGCTCATAATCAAAAACGTGTAATTTATGTAGATATTTAACCAAAATTTGAATAGAAATTTGATCAAGAGTTATTCAAATTATTTTTTTGTCCATATTTAAGTATCAAGTGACAAGTTTATGATAAAAAAAAATCGTTAGTAATCTAGACATTGTCTGTTTGAGAGACCATATAAAAACATATTTAATATTTGAAAGACCAAAATAATGTAATTAAAATATTAAGGACTAAAATGAGACAAATTTTATATTTTAGAGACCTCCGGTATAATTGACAAAAAAAAAAAAAGGAAGAGTTCTGACATTTTTTTTGTGGTAAAGGTGAGAACTTCAAACATCGGTGCACTGGGGATTTATCAAAAAAATATTATGAAAATTATAATTTTAGAAGTTTTTTTTTGTTAATAAATCCGGGCAATAACTTTTTAAGTCATTAAGTTTAATTCAGCTCATTTTTTTGTCTTATTAGTCCAAACTAATTATTTTATTTTTCATTTATTATGAAAATACCACCTTTGGCATTCACACACTCTCTCTCTCTCTCTCAGCCACCATTGCCACCACCTTCGCTTTCCCCATCATCAGGTCCACCACTGCCACCTTCTATCCTAGGCGGTGTCGTAACTAAGTCTCCAACTAAAGCCTGACACGTCTTGCCGGGTGTCTGATCTCAGCTGCCCATTTCTCCCACGGCCGTTACCATACGTGTCTGAACTTCTTGACATTACCGGCAGCGGAAGTTGCCTTCATCGTTTTCCGTTTAGCCTGAAGTGTCTCTCCGATCCTCTTCTTGTTATTAGCTATTGCTTTTACAAGCAGTTTCGATACTAATCTCATCGACATACTTCTTCACTCGTCTCCGTCCGCAAAGGTCATTCTCTTCACCGCTCGATGAGTCTGTAGCATCAGGGTCAATTACCGGCATCCGTATAGTCCTCGGATTACCGGAGTTGTATTGCACGACTTTCCGGTCATCACAAAACCTCTTAGGCTTCAGTAATGACAGAGAACCTTCCCTTGAAGCTCATGCAGTGAGGCGGCAGGAAGCCTTGAATTTCTATTGGTGGATATATCGGTGGCAGAGGCAATTTGTTCAAGTTATTTACTGGCAATTTGTTCAAGTTACATGAAGCTCTTCAATTTGATTGGTGGAGTGATGTAATTAATGGGGGTTACAAAACTCTATCCAAGCAGAGTCTTGTATTGCATTAGAACGTAAAGAGTGAGGAGAGAGAGACCAGCCAAGAGCGAGCAAGAGTAATTTTTTGTTTTTTTTTTTCTCATGAAAAAAAAAGGTAGTGACGAAGAACATTTAAAGATCACTCTGTTAAATTTTAATTGGTGGGATTATAAGGCTTTTGACTATGCTTGCTCGGAGCAAATTTAACTAGAATAATATAACGGTCAATCATCGAATTCTAATATAAATTTAAATATTTAAATATTAAAAAATTTGGTCGATATCCTCTTGGATAACCCAACTCTATAGTAATAAGAGTAATTGGCTTTACGTTTGTGTAATCATTACATTTTATTGAAAATTAAGTTTCACTCCTTTCTTTTGCCAAATAAACACTTTATATTTCTTTGTTTTCTTGTGCTACACTTTGCACCCTAACAACCCTATGGTGTATGGTGGTAGTGGACGAAGCTGGGGGAAAGGTTGACAAAATCAAGCTTTGCAATCGCAATTTTGTACCCCTTAGTATGGAATTAGGAGTTTCATTCTATGAATATTTTCTTGTTGCGTAGAATAAAATTCTTAAATATTTTTTCAATTTTTTGAATTTAGCATTTTTAATATGAGAATGAATTCTTTACAATTTGTCTGTAAACAATTAATCAAAGTTTAAGAACTACATAGTCACACAAATTAATGTTGAGAATTTCCAATAAAATTAATGTAGTTCTCAAACTTTGATCGGTTGTCTGTAAACATTTGATTTACAGGCTTACCTGTAAAAATTTATTTCTCTGTTAATATATGTTTCTCAATTCAAATGAAATGTCTTAACTAAATTATTAAAATCTAATTAATTTTATTAATTAAGCACAATTTATTTGTTTCACTGTTTTTGAATTCATTGTCTTGAGTTCACTGTCTTAGAGTTCATTGTTTATGAAATTTTTTTGAATTAGGAGTTTCATTATATTAAATATCATTGTTTTTGAAGTTCATTGTTTATGTTTATTTCAATATTTTTTGAGTTCACTATTTTTATATATATTTCTCAATTCAAAATTTCAATATTTTTATAGTTCATTGTTTGTGAAATTTTTGGACAGTGAACTAAGGGTTTTATTCTATTACAGTTCACTATTTTTGGAATTCACCGTTTATGATATATATTTTTCAATTCAAATTTTCAATACTTTTGTAGTTCATTGTTTGTGAAATTTTTGGATAGGGAACTAGAAGTTTCATTCTATTAAAGTTCACATTGTTTGTGAAAAAATTATGAATTACGAGTTTTATTCTATTAAAGTTCATTGTTTTTTTTTTTTCCAATATTTTTTAGTTCACTAGTTTTTTACTGTTTTAGGTGGTGGTGGTTGACAGTGGTGGGGTGGTGGTGGTGGCGATGTCGAGGGTGATGGGCAATGATGGTGGTTGTTCACTACATTTAGTTCACTATTTGAGTTCGCTACTTTTGAGTTCATTTTATTTCAATTCACAGTGAACTAGGAGTTTCATTTTATTAAAGTTCATTATTCATGAAAATTTTGTGAATTAGAAATTTAATTCTATTATAATTTACCCTTTTTAGAGTTCACTGTTTATATTTTTTAATATTTTTTATATTGTTGTTTTTTTTATATATTTTTCAATTCAAAATTTCAGTTTTTTGTAGTTCATAATTTGTAAAAATTTTAGACAATGAACTAGAAGTTTCGTTTTATTAAAGTTCACTATTTGTAAAAATTTTGTCAACTAAGAATTTCATTCTATTATATTGTGATTTTGTGGCAGCGATGGTAGGTGGTGGTGGGTGGCAGTAGTGATGATGGTGAATTTTGGGTGATGATGGTGAGGACAATAGTGGATGGCAGTGGTGGTTGGTGGGTATAGGTGGTGGTGGTGGTCGGTAGGTGTGGCTAATGGTGGTGGGCGACGACGACAGTGGTAGTTGTGGCTAGTGTCGAGTAATGGTGGTTTTTGTCGGCGATGGCAGTGGTGGGTGGTTGTGGTAGGCGGTGATAGTGTGTGGTGGTGGCAGTGTTGGTGGTTTTTGGTGATGATATGCGGTGGTGGCAGGGGTGGGTGGTAGCGGCAGGGGTGACAAGTAATGGTGGTGGGCGACAATTGTGGTGGTGGATGTCAGTAATAAGTGGTGATGGTGGGCAGCGGTAATGGCGGTGGTCATGATGGTGATCATAGTAGTAATAATAAATATAAAAATGAAATAATCGTGAAGATTTTTAAATAACCTCCTTTATTAATGGTATTTTATCAAGGGTTAATTTTATGGACTTTTGGTCTTAAAAGTATTCAAGCTAGACCTAAAGCCAAAAAAAAAGTCACTGAATGTGGACTTCTCGCCAAATCCCCTTTTAACTAATGTCCTTTATTAAGGGTATTTTTGTCAAAGATTGATTTTATAGACTTTTAACCTTAAAAATGTTTTAGGACTTAAAATAAAAAAAAATCACTGATTATGTACCTCTTGCCAAGTCTCCCTCCCACCCTTTTTTCATAGTTTTTGTGTCTATCGATCTTTATTCATTAAAAAAGTAGCATTGAGTCGTAATGGCTCTAAAATTCTGACTATAAGGATCTAAAGCTAAAATATGAGGATTTTTTTATTAATTTCAAGAGTTTCAAATAATTAGAAAAAATAAATCAAAAAAATATATTTTCTAATTTCATTTATTTGTTTTAATGTATCAAATATATTTTGATTGTGCAATTTTGTTGAAACTATTCATATGGTATCCTAATTGTGCTTCAATAGTCAAGATCG